GTTTTTGCACCGTGTAGTCACTGGTGATGAAAAATGGATCCACTACGATAACCCAAAGAAGAAGAAATCATGGGGACCACCTGGCCATGCTTCAACATCGACAGCCAAGCCGAACATTCATGGGAAAAAGCTCATGTTGTGTATTTGGTGGGATCAGCTAAGTGTCGTTTATTATGAGTTGCTCAAACCGAACGAAACCATTACCGAACACAATTGATGAGATTGAGCCGAGCTCAAGGAAAAACGCGCTCATTACTACTCCAGACACGACAAAGTTATTCTTCTGCATGATAATGCTCGCCCACATGTTGCGGCGCCGGTCAAAACCTACTTGGAAACACTCAATTGGGAAGTTTTACCCCACCCGCCGTATTCACCAGACATTGCTCCTTCTGATTACTGTTTATATCTGTTTCGATCGATGGCGCATGGCCTGTCTGAGCAACACTTCACATCATATGAAGATACCAAAAATTGGGTCGATTCGTGGATAGCTTCAAAAGATGAAGCGTTTTTCCGATGCGGTATCCGTATGCTGCCAGAAAGATGGGAAAAAGTAGTGGCTAGCGATGGACAATATTTCGAATAAAACATTAGGTACCGTTCTTTTACAATAAATGTCCAATTTTTGATAAAAAACGGCGGAAACTTATTTATACTCCTAATATTATTGCTGTAAATTAAACATGTGTTACAACATGATATATAGAGTGATCCAGATCTACCGTACGGGATGGCACATATATATTTCTCATGAAAAAGTGAGGCGAAAATGTTAATGGCAAAATGTTGTGGTATCAATAATTTTTGAACGGTCACCGTTTAAAAACTATTGATGCATCATTTTGCTATTGACATTTTCGATACTTTTTCATGAAGAATATATATATGTCGTTCCGTGCGATTGATCTGGTTCACTCTGTATATATGTTTTGTATAAGATTTAATAAGTATATACGAGTATGTATATTACAAAATTATATATAATTTAATATTTACATTAATTAAATAATCAGTTTTAAATATTTCAATGGAATGTACGTATCCCTTTTTTTGATACTAATTTGTGCTAACAACAAAACACATTAAATACATTTATATATACATAAATTAAGTTAGTTTTATCGTCTAAAAATTAAGAGTGTAGTATAAGAAATTTAAAGGAAATAAGCACAACAGAGAGAAGCTATCAACGTCAGGGTTATATGAATTTGAATAGCGAGGAAATATGGATAATAGTAGTAAACGTTTGCAAGAATTTCAGAAAAATTTGAAACGCCATATTGTATATTTGAGGTTAGTAGCAATAAAGATACTGTGACCTATACATTCATATAGATTTGAAAGAATGCCTATGTATGTGGAAGTCTGTGTAGAGTTTATGTTAAGCAAGAATTTATGTTTTATGTTAAGTAAGGTAGATAGAGAATTTCGGTTGTTACTGCAGCTTAAAAAAATATATCCTACTTTCTTAAGAAAGCTCTTATGAAAGCTACATTGAAAGTATGTAAACAGTATAACCTAAAAATATTTCTTACACGCATTAACAATCATTATGTCGACTAATGACGCATATTATTAAATTATTGTAGTATAATATATTACAATATTTTTATTTCGTTGTATGAGGAAATCGGAATACACTTTTATGGTGCAATTTGGATAACGCAATTCAGTTCCCTAATATTTGTATCTTAGCTGTTTTAAGACACATTTCATTATTTCAGATGATGAAACATAAAAAAAAGGATGGTCGACTGAATTGGAACAAAGAGAGCATATGGTAAAACAAGCCGTTACAGCTATCTGATAGTGTAATATCTGTTTTAGGAGTTGCACAGCTATTTAACATTCCTTACACAAGTTTTTACAGACAAGTTCAATCTAAACAAAAACAAATGTGTGGTGAAATTAAAGTATCTAGCACTTCTATTAGGCGTCCCACTGTATTTAGTAACGTTTTAGAAAAAAATTTAGCATAAAGAGTTAAATATCTCGAAGCTAGAAGTTTTGACATAACTCCAAAGGAATTGTATATCGCACCATATTATTCTTACGCAATTAAATATGGTATCAAAACACCTTTTTCATGGTCTTAGAACGAAATAGCTGGTAATGATTGGTATTTAGTTTTTTTTAAGAGAAACAAGTTAAGCTTAAGAAAATCCAAAGCTCTCTCCAAAGTTAGAGCTGCTGGGGTTAACAAAGAAGCAGTGCATGCATATTTTAAAATATTGGGCCAAATGATGAATGAATTTAATCTCTTTAATCAATCAATTCATATATACAACATAGATGAAAGTGGTCTTTCCTTGAATAATAGATCGCCTAAGTTTATTGCAGAAAAAGGGAAAAAAGGGGTAAATAGCTTAACAATCGTCGAACGAAGAGAAAATATCACTGTGGTGACTTGTTGCAACGCCTCTGGTAACTTTATTCCTCCTTTAGTAATAGTTAAAGGAGTTTGTCGGCGTCTAGAATTGCAAACAAATCTTGCTATCGAAACAATTACTTGCATGAATGACAATTATATTAATGAAGGAATTTTTTTTTACTTTTTTTGAACATTATCAGAAAAATCGTATTCCAGGAAAAGTTCTATTGATTGTGGATGGTCACACTTTCCATTCTGCTCTTCCAGCTTTAGAGTTTTGCCAACAGCATGAAATCGAAATACTTTGCTTACCTCCTCATACAACACATATGTTACAACAACTTGATCGTTCCGTTTTCAAATCTAAGGCAAATTACCACGATGGATATATAAGAATTCCAGATTTTTTATTTCTAAGTTTGTTTCTTATTCACAAAGGCGTGAAATCGCACTGCATCAATTAGATTGGCTGTCAGTGGATTTTCTTATACCGGAATTTATCCTTACAGACAACAAGCTATTGAAGAATTTAGATTTGCATTTTCTGAGACATACAATGTTGCCACTGAAAACATCTCATCTCCTTCCCCAGATCCTAGCTCTCAACCTAATAATTCTCAGCTTCCTTTAATAGTTCGAGAACCTAACGCTGTTCTGCTTACAACAGCCCAACAAGTCCGAAAAGGTAGTAAAAAAAACTTCTGCTCGGATCAAGCCTAAACCTTGCCGTACAACTTTACTTAAAAATATCACCACTCTCAAGAAGAAATACCAATTTAAGTTAAGTAAATCTCAAACTTACTTAAGTAATCTCTCGCTTACGTACACTCGTGCCGTCGAGAGTTAGCGTAATTAATACGCACCGCGTAGAGCATATCGGGGCCTGTGTGAGACTCAAATAACGCACTTCGATTGAATACTGTCGCCGTGATCTTGTCAACGAATACGAACGAAAGTCGGAGATTAATTAAATATATTTGTTACTTTTATTATTACTAATTATTGTATGATTCATTGCCGTCGTCCATTCGTTTTTCCAAACGATCCTCTATCCTCGATCACGAACCGCCCCCTCTGCCATTCCCAAAGCTGAGGTACCGGTTATGAGTACCGTCGACGTTCGCAGTTCGGTGAAATGTCGCGAGGAAGGTATCCCGAATAATTTTGATAAAGAGTAGCATGCTCACTTATGCCTGACGCCTAACTATCGATTTCGAGATTTTGCGTTGCCTTTAGGAATAGCCGCGTGAAGATCCATTTTTGTCGCGTTTCTTTTGAAACCACACGCATCTGATTGTATAAGAAAGAGTATTGGCTGCGAACGCGCGACGAAGTTGCACCACGCTCGTTAGTGCGGTTACGTATAAATTACATATCCTTTTTCAATAAAAATAAACATTTCGGAAAAGTTATATAAATTATATTCCGATCTTAAAATTGCCCTGAAGCCTCTTTTCATTAGAACTGATAGAGTTCTTCGGTTCTGGTAAAACGTAGGGGTCGCTAATTTCAAATTCGAAAAATGAGAAGATTCAAAATAGTTGAATCAATATGGCGGACGGAAATGTTAAAAGTCTTCCGATTTTGTTGAAATATAGCGTCAGTTTATCGATTTCCTATATGCTCCCGAAGTTTAGCCATTTAAATATGGGACACCCTGAATATTTCTTTTCTTTTTTGCGAGCGAATAAATTCTTATCTTCACCTATATACGAAGCGATGATGATGAACGAGCTCGCGAATTAGTCGTTGTTCTCGCGCCTTGAAGTCTTCCTTCGAGATGCTGCATTTCTGGGCTTCTCGTAGCGAACTCGGCAACATACGAGCGCGATAGCAGAGTATATCTAGCTGGGCGCAGGTTTGAATCATAAAACCAGATATGAGAGTTTCGTGGGCGACGCTGGCGTTCGCACATATAATTAATCCGATAGTTTGATGTAATATAGTAGCCCAGAAAGCGGTCGTTGACGAGATATCATAGGGCACCCAGTCGGACAACGGCAAGGTTCGAGTGCTAATAAAGTACCGGAATTGAGCGACCGTGGCGAAAAAGACGGCTGACTCATTCAGTATTTCGCAGCATATGGTGATTATTCTGGAGAAACATTGAAGAAATATTGCAAAAATATTGGGAAAATATTTAAAAAATGTGAATGATGCGTATTTTATAAATAGACTCTCTCTCTAATATACAAATATTGTTTTCAAATCTATTAAACAATATATATCAAGATCATTGACTTTCGAAGACATTATGATCTTACGTGAACATTTACCTAAAACAAAAAACAGAGAAATGTACAGTTTACTTAAAATAAAAATCTTTTATAATTTATAGTATTGATAATACACGTCTCTCTCTCTCTCTCTCTCTCTCTCTCCTCCCCCTCCCCCTCCCCTCCCCCCTCTCTCTTTCATTTATCAATCCTTCAATCATCTTATCTTCTTTTGTAAATCATGTTTAGTTAATCGGTCACAACAATTTAAATTTTTAGAATATTCTCACACATATACAAATAGTATATTGATCAGTCGTGTTCAAGCTGATCAAAGCTGCTAGCTTGTTCGCCGAAATGTTGAGTATAATTGATTGGATTTATAAATAAGAACTTTTTATTTAGCGATTTTTGCTGAGAACACTGATGTGCATTTGTGCATATTAAAACCATTGTACATTGTAAAATGTTGACCTTTTAAATTTATCTATTATTTTGTAGTACGTCTCTCGCGATATTCGGAAATGACCTTGAAATTGTAAATAAACATTTCCTGTGTGTAACAAATCACACTACTATTGTGACGTGACAATAGTAGTGTGATTGAATCTCATCATTCGTCACAAAGATCACCCGACCTGACCAAAATAGCGCGGCATTTTTGTCCTGTGTCCTCCCGACGCGAAGGGCAGGCGTATTTGCGCTTATTTTCGAGCGTCGTTTGCTATTGCGTTTTGTAAAATATTATTATTTATGAGTTGATTTAGGAGAGTCGGCAATTCCGGTATATAATTTCTCGTATAAGGCACCGTCTCACTACCAACTGGCGGCAAGAAAAAATAGAAGACTTATACTGGAGGCTTGTGCCTCCAGTATAAGTCTTCTATTTTTTCAGAGGAGGGGTAGCGTACAGGTAATACCGTCCTAAATTTTTACATAAACATCCTGTGTGTTAGAAGCGTGCCGACTATTGCTCTAATCTATTCCACTATACTACTACGTTCTCATTGCTTGCCTTGTCGGTGCACTGAAAGCGAGAGAGAGCCTGCCCCAACCGTAGCACTCAAGCAAGCATCAAGCGACCGAAAAAATGTTTTCTCGGCCGCTCGGCGTGTACCTCAAGAGGCATGAGGACATTCTAGATAACACATAACTTTTAATAAATTGTAATAATATCCCTCCCATTAACCCAGAATGTTATAAATTATGTCAAAATGTGATAACGAAAGTTAACGAGAGATTAATTGTTTATAATTTTTTCCATACGCGTTATATACCGCGTTCATAAATTCAATCCCCAAGAAGTTGACATGGCTGCGCGCGTAAGATGTAAGATATGCGGAAATAAATAATCAAATTAGAGTAAAAATATATTATGTCAAATATATTTTCATATCATTTTTGAAATTATTCATATGTGTAATTTTCAAGCAATAGATGTAGGAAAAAACTGATTCGCTTTTCAAGCAAATAAAAAGTTATTTAAAAATTACACAACATATAAAACCCTTTATTTCTACACTACAAAATTGTATTAGCGTTATCTTTATTTATATTAGTAATCTTGTTTTCGAAATTTTTTTGTTCATTAATAGAATTTTAAATGCGCATATAATAGAAAAAAATATTTTAAACAAAATATTGATCGACATGAAGCGTATTTGCTATAAACGCAACATCATTAAACATGTTTTTTTTATATTAATCTTTCATTAATTAAACTGAACACATACCATACATATCGAATAATTATTTTTTCTACATTTTTTTATTTTAAGATACACGAATAATTGCAATTGTTATATGAGAATATATTATTTGACTTTATACAGATAATTAATTGAACTATCTATATCAGAAGAGTATACGATATCTAAGAGATAAGAGACAGAAAAAAACAAGATTTTCGCATAGGAGCACTATTAGCTTACTATCCGCGTACTTTATTTACTCAGTCACATTGATTAATTGCATTTGACAAATGCGATAGAATCCACACAATAAATGTTTTCGTGTTCTTGTGTATTCTCAAGAATCTTGGCTTGTCGATGCCGACGCATGACATTATTATCAAAATCTCCCTCCTCCTTCCCTTCCCTCCCTCCTCTTTCTCTCTCTCTCTCTCTCTTTATACTTTCTTATATATTTTAAATATTAAACAGAATAAAACAAGATGTATTAGATATTATTATGTATGTACGTATTTGTATGATATACATAATATTAAAATTTTTGAGTATGAAAGTTGGCCAATACGTATATATTTTAATTTTAATATTTAAGATGTTACATTAAGTATGTTATATTAAGAAATTAATTCTAGAACTTTTAATGACACATTAAAACATGAATTATGATAAAAATATTGTACTTTTATTTTATTTTATTTTAAATAACGTACATATTGTTGCTCAACGGAAACCGTGAGAAGGTGGTAGTCTCTGTCAGGAGGAAAATGTAAAAAATTATTATTATTATATGCAAAATAAATACAAATCGAAAAATGTTAATAAATTTATAAAATAGTTACATTTCCAATTAATAATAAAACAATGTAATAATAAAAATTATTTGAGAGAGAGAGAGAGAGAGAGAGAGTGAATTTAAGCGGAAAAGACAGTCACGAATGAAAAAACTTTTAAAGCAAATGCTCAAGTAACAAGTCACAATTTTTATTATTTGCAGTTCACAAAGTTAATAATTTCACAAACAAAAAAGCCGTAATAAATTCTAAAGTTAACACATTCGCAATGAACTAACAATAAATCCGGAAGAAAACTGATATTCCTTATCTTTCAGAAAACTACCTCTTAAATCTCGGCGGCTTTTTTTTAGCGGAGCGACAAAGATAGCGGAGCGTCTTCTCAATCTCAAAGGCGATTGATTAAGAAATCCTGATCCGACCTTTTATACAATTGACCGAATAAAAGGCCGCTTCAACAGTCGCTTATGAGACCCCCTTGAAAATTATAAATTTTTTGAGGTGATCACACGGTGATCATTCGAGTAGCAATTGGCAATTTCAAACGGAAATAGCCAAACCAGGCTTGTTGTCATGCGCGACCTAAAAATCAGCGTTCATGATTGGAGCGCGAGCGAATTACGCTTTCAGCGTGTGCGTACGCTGCGATTAACAGGAATTACAATTACCGTTTTAATTAATGTTTTTGTGTGCATGTATAACATGCAGAGTGATTACAAACTTAACGTTTCACAAGAAAAGGAGATCTTCAAAATCATTTGAAAGTTTCTCGAATGATTTTTAGCAATATAAAATTTCTAGATATTTTTCACCTACATGCCGTACATACATTTATTTCATTATCTATTTTATGGATGCTAATCTCAACAAAAATTAAATTTTTATATTTCCCTCAATGTGTGTTCGTGTGTGAAGGTATTTTTAAACTTTTAAGCATCTTGTCCGGCTAAAATTTTGACTACGCTTACTTTTTCCTTTCTAATGAGTTAAATATCTAAAATCGCCACACAATCAATTTTATACAAGATACCTTTCAAAATTCTTTATAAAATATCATTAAGATGTTTCTTAAAAAATTTGAAAAAAAATTTTAGTGTTGTCTTATGCGTCGATTTTAGACATTTTGCTCATTGGGTTTATAAGCGTCCCACACAGATAATATATTTAATACACTTTTAAATATTATATTTTGACTATTTAAATATTATATTTGATACTTATGGAATTTTACAGAAAATTAAATAATTTTACATTTAATATTTTCAATCTGTTGTCGAAGGACCAGCAGTATCATTTATATCAACAACATCTTAAACTACTGCATTTTTTTTTACTAACACCATTGTATAATATGTTCGTCGATACAAGACAAATAGTTTTCTTCAATAGTCATAGTTATGGTAAAAAAGTTTTCCTCTCATCTTTAATGCTAACTTCACAATGCAAGTGACATTAACGTAAGTTGGCGATAATTTGTTGTGTTTTTTTGTTTTTAAATTAGTTAAGAAGGAAAACATTCTCTCCGCATCGACATTTAAATTTAGAAGTGATCGTATAACATTCAGAAGTTTTATTAAGTTTGTATATTTATCAATGTTATTTGATTGCAAAATTTTTTTCCACATATCATCGAAGCTTAATTTGATAAAATTGACTTTCTTCTGTAATAAAAAATCTAATGGCAGTGCAAAAGCTTTATCGAAAACTACTGATAGTTTTAGCTATGACAGAAACATTGCTGAATGATATTTCTCTATTATTGGGTTGTCCGGAAAGTCCGTGCGGATTTTTAAGCAAAATTCAAACGACAAATTTTTATTGTTAAAAGTAATTTTATTCTGTAACATATGCACCATTATTTTGCACAATACTTTTCCATCTTTTGGGTAATTTCAAAATTCCCCTCTCGTAGAAGTCCTGGGGTTTTTCGGCGAAAAAGCTGTCCAAGTAGTTTTTGAGGAGTTCCAAAGAAGCAAAGTTTAAACCATTAATTGAATTTTGTAGCGACCGAAATAAATGATAATCCGAGGGTGCAATGTCGGGGGAATATGGTGGATGAGGCAAAACATCCCAGCCAAGCGCCAATAATTTTTGTCGAGTCTGTACTTGTACGAAGTCTTGTAACTTGTATGAAGTCTGGCGTTATCATGATGAAAAACGACGCCTTTCCTATTGATCAATTCCGGACACTTTTTGGTGATTTCCACCTTCAATTTATCCAACTGTGAACAATACTTGTCCGAATCGATGGTTTGGTTGTTCGGTAGTAGCTCATAGTACACTATCCCTTTCCAATTCCACCAAATGCAGAGCATTACCTTCTTTGGATGTAAACCTGCCTTCGGAGTGGTCGATGGCGGTTCACCTCGCTTGCTCCATGACCTTTTACGCTCGACATTATTATAAATTATCCACTTTTCGTCACCTGTTATGATACGCTTCAAAAATGGATCGTATTCGTTGCGTTTGTATAGCAAATCGCTGATGGAAATGCGATCAATACGATTTTTTTCAGTTAAGTCGTGCGGTACCCAAACATCAAGCTTTTTTATAATCTGGAGCTTGTTTAAATGT